TCTTTCCAGCTCTCTTCAAATCATAAGCTTTCTCTTTTTTTGGTATTTTTTTGGTATTTCTCTTTCCAGCCCCCATGTGTACATATGAGTGGGCTGACCCATAGAAACCCCATCCTTCACTAAAAGCACTTATGAAATCAAACTTCATGTGCATTTTCAATATCTCCTTTTTGTGTATATTATATATATTTATTGTTTGCATTGAATTGTTTCCGGGTGGTTTTGTATCACATGAATCTTGAAAGACTTCCATGGTGTTGGACTTTTAGCCTTGTGCAAATATTCCATGGAGTACATGTTATTTGATGCTTGCCTCTTGGAGGGTAAAATGTGTCTCATATGGCACATGTAAGGGTAGCAATGAGCCGGGACAGCCTTGTCCTTAGCTCGGGCCTTGTCACCATAGATTTGCCCCTAATAGGATTGGGCCGGTCCAAAAACATAATAAAAAAATAAAAAGGAAAAAAGAAAAGAGAAAGAGGGCCAGATTGGGCCGGCACTAGCCCTGGTACGATCCTTAAGCCCCAATTTGCATCCAAAGCCCTACCCTCTTTTTAGGGCAGGGCTAGGCTGCAAGGCCCATTGCCAGCACTAGGCACATGGCAAACTGTTGCTTATGCCCACATAGCTCATGCGTATACAACCCATAGCTTCCCATGCTAGGGCCGGGCTAGCTGCCAGGCCCCATTGCCAGCACTAGGCACATGCCAAAGTGTTGCTCATGCCCACATAGCTCATGCGTATACGACCCATATCTTCACATGCCAAGCAACAGCAAAACTGGCTTATGCCTTATTTGGCTGATGTCTAAATGGATATACGCTTCGCATGATTCAAATCCTAAGGTTTATATATTTCATGCAACCCATTTGACTTAATGTTTACATGGCTTATGTTCTATGGCACTCATACCCCAAAAGTGTGTTCGACACCAGCAGTGACCAATGGGGTTTTGTTGTCTTTTTTCTTGTTTTTTTTTTTTTGGGAGTTTGAACAGTAAATTTCATTAGTAATAGAGATAAATCTCTACTTCCTAGAAAGACCGACCAACACTCCCAAAGCACAACCAAACTTTGAACCTCAAAGACCCTGAACCACCAACCACCTACGAATTCTCATAAACCACTTACATTAACAGGACTTGACCTATCCAATCCCTCAACCCGAACCCCAACTACTTACTACCACTCCTAAGCACGATCCATTCCATAGTAAGCACGTAAGCTGGTTTGGGGCAACAAACGTGACGATGCCCAGAACATGGCGGTGTTTAAATTGTGTCGACAGAACCATCGACCGAGAAATAGAGTTTAAAAGAGATACAAAAGAAAGAAGCTAGATCTGGAGGTTGCTTGTAGGGATTAGAAGCTCACATGGTCTGTTCACAGGGATTGAGGGGTTAGTTGATCGTTAGGGTGTGCAGGGCAAGGCCTGGTGTTTGCAGGGCTGGTGCTCGCAGGCTATGGCTGGCTAGACTAGTGCTCACTCTCTTGCCGTCTCTCTCGTAGGCCGGTGCTCGCTTGCATGGGTTTTGTTTGTTGTTTAACCTTTATATGGTTCAATGAAAGGGTAACTAGAATGCTTTGATGTAGTGAAATTCAGTGGTTCATATGGCGTCATTGCTTGAGCATTGTAAAGAAATGATAAGCCATAAATCAGGACTCATCGCAATAAATTGCTAATGTGTTTGACGATATATGCATGTTGAGTATGCATTTGTTGGCTTAAGTGCCTCCATGATTGAAACAAATAGTTTGCGTCAATTGCTTGAAAGTGTTTGAAAGTGTTGGGCGTCTTGTCCCATGTGGGAGGGAAACTAATGGTATTAGCCCCACTCGAAAGAAAAGAAACCTCTTAGAGAGGAAATACTAAGAGAGGGACAAACAAAAGAGAGAAGAATAGACCCTCTTAGACAGGGAAAAGCACTTGCTGTAATAAAATCAATGCCAATGGATTGTGCGTGGTCTTGAATGATCTAATCCATCCCCACCAAACCACTTTCTTAAAGGGCCGTATTTATCATTGATAATATTCTTATAGAAAATGAACTAACATCTCTATACCATTGGTCCTCACAAAGAGCAAAAATGTGTTGTTAGTTAGATCTTAGTAGCGGTTATGAGCGAGTCTCTTGGTGCCCTGGGTTTCCGCAGCTTTTCATCTCTTGGGTTCAGCATTGTATCTCCACTCCCTGCTTCTCGGTCTTACAAAATAGCTTTTCCAAAGGTTTCTTTAAGGAAAGCAGCATCTGCGACTAGGTGACCCACTATCCCTTATTTCTTTCTTTTGGTTATGGACTACCTGAGCAGGATTGTGGATGTGAAATTCTCAAAACATTCTCTTTCAAATGCTTTTCCCTCAAGATGCAATTTGGGGGTTAATAATTTACTTTATGTTGATGATAACTTAATCTTTTGTGAGGCCTCTGCCCATTATGCAACCACAGTTAAAAATATTATGGAAGTAGCTTATAATGCCACGGGTCAACAGGTAATGCGGCCAAACGTACGGTGCTATACTTGGGGGGGGTATAATGGACTCAAGTCTAGCATTTGAACATTCTTGGATTTGGAGAGGACGCCTTGCCTGTGAAATATCTAGGCCTTGCACTGTTTCAAGGTTCTCTCAAGCATTCACATTGTCATAGTCTTTTTGGAAAACTTATTGGGGAAGAGGGCTCCTAGGGCCTTATGTCCTTCTTTTACGGATCCTCTACAGCTGCTTAAATCTGTACTACGCGCATTTTTCATTTATTCAGTATTTTCTTTCCTGCTCCCTATGAAAACTTGCAACATGACAGAAAGGATGCAACGTACTTACTATGGGCAATGTAGCAGAGCAAAAAGGTCTCCACCTTGTCAATTGGGAAACTATGGTTGGTATGATGATGCCCACCTGGAGAATTATCAGGAGTCCCTCATCTTTGGTTGCCAAAATTTTCAAACATAAAACACTTTCGCAGCTCTATTGGTCTGGACCACCACAACAAAATTTGCTTGTATTGCTGGAAAGGCATTACAGAAGGTATTAACTTCGAGTAATGCCAGATGGGTCACTGGAGATGGTCACTAGAAAGATGGGTCACTGGAGATGATCACTGGAATGTAGAGCTCTCAATTCGGGACTCCTTTGGTGCTCATACCGAGAGGGTTTCAGGCACGCTTGCCAAAACCAAAGTGTTCAATTATTTATATGGTCTCCCTCAAACCTAGAAATGCCCTAAACCCACATCTGGTCTTTTTACCAGTGCTTTTTGATCTTCTTACCCATTGTCTAGGAGGTAAAAGCTCATACATGGCATATGCAGCTGGCAGAGGATTTCTAAGTATGGATCCATACTTCCCATGGTCATTTCTCACTTAAAGGTGCTTGGGAATTTATCAGAATCAAGGGGACTTCATTGCCTATTTTCAGATCCTTATAGGCTTTACATTCTCACCCTAGAGCCAAATGGTTCTACTGGTTGGCTCTTCATCATCGCCTTCCCACCATGACTCTCCTCCAAACTAAAGTACTATTGCTTCTAGATGCTCACTCTGCCATGAGGCAGGGGAAGATGCTACCTATTTACCTTTCCAATGTGTTTTTCCACAAGCATTATGGAGATCTATTTCTTAGTTGTGTTGAAACCTGATGGCCCCTGAACACTCCACCCTAGGAATGTTCACTGTGTGGATCAGCCTCTTCACATCAACCATCTGGTTCCTTTGGACCGAAAGAAACCAACATATTTTCAAAGGCAGATCCTCTAGATGCAAGCTGCAACTCAGATAATTATCCACGTCAAAGAACTAGTTGTAGCCAATCTTAGTCATTTCATCCATCAGAATAAACCCATCCTACAGAACCTTAAGATTCCATGGCTCTCACAGCCAATGCACTCCCCGATGCAACTCTCATGGTTCCCACCCCCGGTTGGCATGTTTAAACTTAATATTGATGGGGTGTCTTTTTAAAACCTGGAGCTGCAAGGAACAGAGGCATCACCAGAGATAGTTTGGGATGTTTTCTATCAATTTTTGTTAGAAAAATTAGGGAAAGTCATAGATACCCACGTATGCCAATCCAACGCATCTTGGGCTGTACTACAAGAATTTGAATATTAAAAGCTAATCCTGCAAATTTTGTATCAGGCACTTTTTGCCAAAAATGTGCCAGGCTAACATTTTTGGGCCAAACCAACACATGTTGGGCATCACAATTTGGAAATGTGGATTACAATTGGGGGTTTATTTTAGTCTAACAAACTATTTTACTTTGTGGGATGAATGCAATAGTATTGCATCAAAAATATTTAGGAAGGGGATTGAAAGGGGGCGGCCTTGCATAGAAAGTACAAATTCCAGGGGTATCTATATCTTTCCCTAAACTATATTTGTGGGACTGGGACATTCACCTAGGCGTCCATTGTATCACCTTCTCAATTTCAATGTCTCAAAAAAAATGCTTAGTAATAAAAATAATTCAACATATTAAAAATAGAGTAATAATCCTAAAAAATGCTTAGTAATAAAAATAATTCAACATATTAAAAATAGAGTAATAATCCTAGACCCTCCCACAACCATATGTGTAGAACCCCAAAGGATCACCATTAAATTTGATACAGACATCTAAAAAAGTTATTACATGAATATGGGACTTGACTTTTTTAGAAATTTGTCCCAAATTTAATAGTGATCCTTTCGGGTCCTACACAAATAGGTGTGGGAAGGTCTCATAGGATCATTACTCTTAAAAATAAGGAAAAGTATCCCGCCCACGTTATTGGCTAGATTTCACAAGGCCATATCCAACAACCAAATATTAATATGATTTTTAAATAAAGCTAAAACCCAAGATTCAAATTAATATGATTTTTAAATAAAAATTAAAAACAAAAACAAGTTTCATTTTTGGTCCTTGGATGAGATTAGTTCAAACTTAACTATCAAAAGGTGCTTGTGCACAGCCACATGTGAACGCAATACAAACCCTATAAATAAATCAATGCTTTTCAGAAGGAACAGGAACTACTATTACTTTTATTGCATACTTTTACATTCATATGATACTAGCATCCCAATGTATCAGCACACCTTACAACTTTTCCTACATGAGCCATAGTAATCTGGGGTTCCTACCATATAAGCCGGATTCTTTTGGCACTCCCCTAAGGCTGCCCATTGGGCGCATAGATCATCTTCATCTGTGCATTCAACGTTAGATGATGAACGCTTGGAAGGAGTATCGAAAGACCTTACATGAATCCATTTAGTTGCAGACCATTTCTCTCCTTCAATAACAGGGCAGCTCCCATGAAGACTGTTTTGATCAGTTGTAGCATCAGGATGAAGACTGAAGAATAACAAGGCATCCCCTTTGTTGGGTTTCAATGCATAGCCTCTTTTCGCACAATCTGACAATGTATCATCCCCGAGTTGGATCTCTTTGGCCTATGAGGAGAAATGGCAGCTCAGTACAAACAAGCATGGCACCAAACATTGCTAATTTCTACAAAGGGGACTGTATACTGTGAACCTCACAAGCGTAAAGAATTTATGATCATGTGGGAGAACCGAGCAACTCAGTACCCAAAAGTATGGCACCAAATATTGCAAATCTTTTCAAAAGGACAAGTATAATGTGAACCTCATGAGGGTATAGAATATTTGGTCATGAGAGTCAGCACCATCCGATCGATCAATTGTTGGATGGTAAGAGATAGGGGCCCATGAGAACACTTTATGGCTCCAAATGGTGTACGTCCCTAATGACTATAAATATCCTATGGTCACCTCAGGGTTATCCATAATCAAAAATATTTTTTGACTCAAGGAAACAGAGAGTTGTGTTCATACACTTAAAGAAATGAATTTAAGACCACCCTTTAGTGAATTTTTTTGTTTAATAAATGCAAGGGAAATTGTTTTTTAATCTTTCATGCTTTCGTTCTATTCTTTAAAGTTCTGCCAAATTTCCGTTTTTTATTTTTCCCAAGTGTTTCTTTAAAACTAAAAATTAAAAAAAAAAATCCACTAAAATTGCCTCGTTGACAAATTATCTACAATGCAATTTCTCACTAAAACAACAGCAAATGAGAAAAATGGAGGGTAAGAGTTCTTCACCTCTGAATTGGGGAATACAGTCTCACCACCCTTTGTGACCTGTGACAAATACATGAGAACAGTCGCTATGCGGTGTCCCCCAAGCTCTTGATTCGCTTTGTCATGGAAGTAATCATAATGTGGCTCGTATTTCTGGCCATGTTCATAATGCAGTATTTGTATGGACTCACCATTTTCTGGAAAAGAGAGACCAAATAAAGACAATTCAAAGAAATATATTGCATTTCAAAGGGGAGTTATTACATTCCGTATATCAATGGTGCTAATTACCATTACTATGATGGTGATATTCTTAAAAATATAATAAATACATAACGAAACAAAAAAAACTATAAAATGTTACTGAAAGCAATAGTATGATGAACCATATCTTCAGAATCTATCAGCAACACAAACTTAGGTTAATCTTCATGATCAAAACTGCAAAATGATGGCTTCAGAAAAGAAACTACATAGTTACCCTTTGGAAGAAAGGTCCAGGCTGCAATTCTATCCTCGATCCTGGCAACAATTTCATCCTTACAAGACAAAGACAATAAATTAGAACAGTGCTATCCAGTTCTCTAGTTTCTGTTATTTTAAGAACACTAGCAATCAATGAAACTTGAATGAGCTCCATAATAAAATGGTAAAAAGCAAGTAATTAGAAGGGAATAAAATCAATCCCAGCAAAAAGTAAATTTGTTATCAATGCAATGAACAACTGAACTTGAATGAGCCCCATATTTTTATGATAGCTCCTAGATAAAGCAGAGAATCTTTGATAGTGTAGCAATTGGTGAATTGAAAATAACAAAATTTAATAGTACCTAAGAATTCGAAGTTCTAAAAATTTAAGTTAGTACACTAATAAAATTAGGTCATCAGATATCACATGGAACTTCTGCAATTTCTGCAGTCACTGTACCATTAATACTCATTTGAGAGGCAGATAGTGGAGCTCGGAAGCATTCCAAATGAAGGGAATAAGACCCTTTCTAAAGATCCCACAAATAAAAGATATTTTGAGTATTGGTTTTAGATTTTGTTTGTTTTCACCTTTTTAGTGAAAAATATCAAAATAATATAGTACATTCTTACAAAGAAACAAAAAAATATTTCCGAATCTTTACAGTTTCGCAACAATGCGGGCTTATATATATATACGAGAAAGATTTTGTACGCCCATGCGTGTACTGCTACAGTGAACGCCCACGACCCAAATTGAATCTGGGCCGATCTGACGATCATGGAAGTCCAGTAGTGTTTGAATTTTAATTTTTTTTTTTTACAAATCCAAATCACTTGAAATTTTAGACATGTATTCTTCAAAAATAGGTGAATCTACGAAAAAATATCAAAAAAATATATTACATGAAATAAATAGACCAAAATACCCCCAAAAAGTTTTGGGGGTATTTTGGTCAATTTGTTTTTGCGAATTATTTTTTTATATTTTTATTAAGTGCTCCTTGATGAGAAGAACACACGCCTAAAATTTCAAGTGACTTGGATTTGTAAAAAAAAAATTAAAATTCAAACACAAAATGAGATTGTGATCATCAAATCGGCTCAGATTCAATCTGGGCCATTGGCGTTTACTGTAGCGGTCAGCGAGTGGGCGTACACAATC